CATGCTGATGTGGTGGACCGGTCTATCTTTAGGTTCTTGTTTTGATTGAGCATGGTATTGGTGAATGATATGATTTGTCGATGAATGTTTGATGAAATTGTGAAGTTGTGATGACGGATGTGTGGTCATTGCCTCGGTATTTGCTTGATTACTTTGAATGACATCTATTTGCCTTGTGAGGTTTTGGTCTTTTTTCTTTCTGCGGCTAGCGATAGATGTGCACAGGAGTAATGTGGTTTGTTGTGATTTTGATAGGAGATGAGACATGTTGTGATTATCTTATATTCATGCTGCGACCATACCATTTGACATGTATTATTTATGTGCATAGTAGTGAGCACTACGTTCATTTTGTGCTCACTCCCACCTGTTCTTCACGGATGCAGGTTAAGCAGGTGCCGGATAACGGGGGGAAAAAAAGAGTGGGTCGGTCATGATTTATGTTTTTATGATTCGCTTCCATTATGAATAAAGTGTGGTCCTTGAGACGTGTTGAACTATTTTCAAAACTTGTCCTTTTTGGGATTATCGGAACCTTTTGGAATTATTTATTGAATATCATGTGTTTTCGATTATGTATGCTATATTGTTTAGCTAATAATCATGTGGAATTGATGTTTTAAAGGTTAATGAAAACCATGTGAACAACCAGATATGACTTGGTTGACGTTAAATGTTTGAATAACGCCCATGGTTTCGAAAACGAGTTTGAAAAAATTTGTACTGATTTTTGGAAAGTCTGAAAATTCTTTAAAATCGCAGTGGGGTGTTACATACTCGCTAATTGTGCCTCGTTGCCTCAACTCCCTAACGTTCTTGCGGGCTTGGTACACCACATTTTCGGGGTAAAATTGCCTCTTGAGCTCCCTCGTAAAGTCATCCCATGACTCGATCTGACAGATGCCCCTCTCGATGTCGGCATGCTTCCGACGCCACCATAACATTGCAGTATCGGAAAGATAAAGAGCAGTGGTACGTACCTTGGTAGACTCCTCCTTGAGTCCGATGCCTTCAAAATATTGTTGCATGCTCCATAGGAAGTTGTCCACTTCCTTGGCATCCCTCATGCCTTTGTACCCGCTCGGCTTCGGATACTCCACCCTTGGAGAGGCCATCAGGTGACTAGCCTCTCCACTAGCGATCACCCGCTTGCACAGTGCAAGGTCCTCGCGCATCCCCTTGATGCTTTCTAGGAGGCCCTTCACAAGGTCCTCCAGTTTATCCAAGCGATCCTCTGCCGGCGTGTGCGTCTCCAGTCTCTCCTGGATCGTGCGCTTCATAGACTCCATCTCTTCCAGGACGTGCGTCTTCAACGTCTGGAAGTTGAACTCGACCCATTCGAGCTTCTCGCCTATTTCCCCAACAACTTCGTCCAGACCTGAAACCTTTACGCGAGCCCGGCTCTGGTCCCAACACTTCTTGTCTTTGAGCGTGATGGTGTGCTCTCGTCCTCGGGTCTGCTCCTCGCTTACCGCCGACCCAGATGCCTCATGTTCCTTGTCTCCGGCCATACTCTACACGGTACCGAGCGTGTCTCTGATACCACTTGTCACGCCCTTATTTACTTGATAGATGTGTGCAGCCTAAGCCCCTCGTTGCGCCCCTTCGCAAACTAGCTTAGTCAGCCTCACCGTGCCTGGACCGTGCTCGGTGTGTGCGAGTGCTAAGGCTAGAGAATGTGGGAAAGAGTGTTGAAGGGAAAATGCTTGTACACTATTCACACAAACCTAGTACATAAGAGCTTGAATGATGCTTGGATGATTTGCAAATGAGGGGGCCTCTCCTATTTATAGGCACTACTCCTCTAAGGAACCTTCTAGGTCTTACAAGGGTCTTGATAGTTCTAGACCCTTCCCAAAAATCCTACTTCATACACACAAGTCCTAGATCCTTCTACACAACTCTACAAGGCTCTAGGCTCATCAAGTCACTACTACATTTATCTACACAACTCTAGGGCCTTCTAGAAGCTCCTAGATAATACTAAACCTCTTCTAAGGTCACTATGTACAAGACTTAGGCCTGGCACATCCTAAGTCGCCAAAATAACGGCCAGACCCCGTGCATGCGCGCGCTACTGGCGTGCGCGCTCTTGCTGCCTGCAGGAGTGCGTGCCTTCCCTGTGCGCGTGCGGTATTGCTCGAGCCTGCACGGCCCCGGGCGTGCGTTTCTGAACCTGGCTGCATGCAGAGCCCACGTGTGCATTGCTCGGGCTTGCACGGCCCCGGGCGTGTATTTCTGAACCTGGCTGCATGTAGAGCCCACGTGTGCGCTGCGTCCATGCGCGGGCTGACTTGGGTCTGGGGGAGCGAGTCGTAACATTATACTCGAAAGCTAGTATCTTTCCTTTATTAATAAAAGACAGGGCGTTACAATAAGGCCTCAACTTCCTGACCGTTACAACCACCGCCAAAGCGCACTTTTCGATCTCCGAATATCTCAGCTTCGCCCCTTGCATCACTCGACTAACATAGTATATTGGAAACTGGGCCATCCCCTCCTCACGCAGCAACACCGAGCTCACCGCATTCTCCCTAATGGATATGTCAAGTACCAAGTCTTCCCCTTGTATCGGCTTATCTAACAGAGGTAAGTTAGCGATCACCCCTTGCAATTCCTCAAAATCCTTTTGAGCTTCGACCGTCCACTGGAATCTCAAACTTCTCTTCAATTTCTTGAATAACGGCCCACTCTTTTCCGCCACTTTAGAAATAAATCTCCTCAAGCCGGCTATTCAACCAGTTAATATCTGCACCTCCTTTATATCAGCTGTCGGCTTCATCTCCACCACTGCTCGAACTTTTTCCGTGTTTACCTCAATTCCTCGCTCTGTCACCATGTACCCCAAGAATTTTCCGGCCTTCACACCAAAGGAACACTTAGCCAGATTGAGTTTCATGCCATACCTCCTCAGCGTGCGAAATGTGTCCCTCAAATCCCCCACATGGCCAGCCTCCATTGTGCTTTTCACGAGCATATCATCGACATAGGCCTCCATATTCCTCTTGAGCTGGTCCTTAAAAATTTGATCGACCAGCCTC